TTCCCCTTGGCTTTTCCAAGAAAAGTTTGGTTAGTTCCTCCACCCGGCATTGTAATGGGTGGATTATTCCCTTGGTTGACAGATGCAGCATTCACTTATTCATGGTGCTCACTTTGCACATATCCGTGGGAACAATTGGAAGTAGAATGTAAAACAATTGGAAGTGGAAGACACTTGATTCACCGAATTATGGTTAATCAAAAATTGATCAAACATTTGAGATAAAGACTTGACTTCGGCGGCTATGTCATTAGAATTGTCAACTTGATATAAGCCGACATTCTTCCGTCCACCTAGATTTCTACCATTTTTGGAATATAAAGATCGATGCATTGAATTCTCACTCATGCCTATCAAGATAAGAACCACCCATAGAAGCATCAACCATTCCTTTAAAATTGTCTGACAAACTTTCAAAGAAAAATTGGACCAATTGCTATTTAGGAATGTCGTGATGTGGACACTTCCTGAGCAAGTCATTGAGGCGCTCCCATGCCTCAAGAAACATTTCCCCATCCCTTTGAGAAAACTCTCGAATTAAAGTTCTCATTGCATTGGTCTTTGAAACCGGATAATACTTTTTCAAGAACTCTTGTTGCATTTCTGCCTAAGAAGTTATCGAAAAAGGTCTTAGATTGTTGAACTAATATTTTACTTTGTTTTTAAGGGTGAAAAGAAAGAGTTTGAGTCTCAAAACCTCTTCCGGCATGTCAGTCTATTTCACGGTGGAACACACTTCAAGAAACTCATTTAAATGCTTGAAGGGTTCTTCACTTGGAAGTCTATGATAATTGGGAAGCATTTGAATAGTTTGTGGTTTAATCTTTGTACTCATTTGGCACGTATCGATCTCTTAAAGCAAGAGAAGGATTTACAATTGGTGGCTCGACACGAGCACCATGATTAACTTGAACAATGGGAGGTGGGGGTGGAACAAAAATTGACCAAGGCATTCCCAATGGAACTTGGCCTTGCTGTTGTGGAATGAATGGTCTTAGCATGCCTAATGGTAGTTGAATGTTGTCATAATGCATATTAGGGTGAATAATGCCTTGTTGGTCGATGTGACCAAGGTCCTCCACATGGTCTTCATTTTGCTCCTTCATTGATGAAATGGAGTTATAAGACTTACCCCTTCCCTTTGGATTTCGAAAAAATGATTCAAGATGAAAATCAAGTGGGACAAGAGTTGGATTCAATGATCTACGACCATGCATGCACTATCAAAACAAACAAACAAATCACAACAAGAATATAACAAACACTTCTCCTCCGTAACAAATCAATCAACAAAACTCCACAAATATTTATTCCATACTCCCATGCTTTGAACAATATGCAAGGAAAGTAAATTGCCTCCATGCGGGCTTACGATTTATCTAAGAATTTAAAGACTTGCTACCACGGGGGCCGACGATTTAACTAGAGATAGAGTTAGAAAAGGTCACAAAGGTTCCTTAAGCAACTTCAAATCATTTTTCAATTTTTGTTTTGCCTTGCTTTGCAAATTTTTTAATTTTTAGCTTTTTATGCTTTTGATTTGCTTAGCTTAGCTCATTGCTTTAGAATTTCCTTTGCTAAACTTCCCTTACTCAATGCACCTAGCCAATCAAGAACAAAAACAATAAGTAACCAAAATAAAATAAAAATAAAAACATGATCAAAAGAGTACTAATTCCTAATTGTTTTCAAAATACGGCGTTGCCAATCAATCCTTGGCAATGGCGCCAAAACTTAATGTGTCTCGTACCAGTTGCACTAAAAGTGTGTAGTGTGGTCAAGTTTGAATTTATAGAATATCACTACTACCACTAACTACTAATATACCTAGGGTGAGTAGGGATCGTCCCAAGGGAAAGAGCACGGTATTGTTAAGGAAACAATATTGGATTAGTAGGTCGAGTGATCGAAAGATGGTTTGTTGGTTGGATTAAACTAAACTTTAAACTAAGCAAATGCAATGTAAAACAACTAAATTAAATAAGGTGTAAACCACTAAGCATTACCTTCATAAACATTCAATATTTGATGGATGAAGGGGGAAAATATGTTGTAAATGAAAGTGTGTGCCATTAGTTGAAATATTAGCATGGATGGTCAAGTAAGCATACATTGTCTAGCCAATTTAGTGAATATCACAATATATCAAATTAAGCTATTAATCCTTCCATAAGCCCACAATCAATGCACACTCAACAAATTAGAGAAATATACTACTTGCATTCATAAGGATGGAACATCAAATAATAAGAATGGATTGTCCACCTATCTAAGTAAGTAAGGCAACTACACTACAACTAAGCTAGTGACATGAAGATTAAACTAATTAAACTAAGGTTGTGGCACAATCCATTAAGAAATAAGTATGAACCATCAAATAAACCACAAGAGTATTCCATTTAAGCACCATGCCTTGACCATCACTAGATTCATAATATCAACACACATAAACATGCATCAATGTCACAAAACCTCGAGATAAACACATGAACATCCATTCTAGCATACATAGACATATGAATAGAATTAAATGATTAATTGGAAGTATTAAAATACACAAATCATTGTAGAAATAAGATTTATATATATATCAAATGTCAAGAGAAGAAATACACACTAATCCCCATTAATTACAAAACATCAAAGTCTAGGAGGCATACTTAGGGCTAACTCTATCCCCAAGAAATGGTTTAGCCACTCATTGATGTTGTCATCCAACCCTCAAGGGCTATCTCCATGGTAGAGCTCATCTTCCTCCTTGGTAAAAACCCTAGATGAGAGTAAGAACTTTCCCAATTTGTATATTCTCTCTCTAATCTCTAGCCAAGACTCTCTCTAACTAACCAATCTCTCTACTCAAAATAGCCAAAATCCTTATATAGGTAGCTCAAGTGTCACACCCAATGGTCAGACCTCGTGCACTAGGACCTCTAAATGATTGTACCACAAGCACACATTTAATTTGGCTTGAAATCAACTTTTCATGCAACTTGAGGTAGTTCGATTGATCACGAGGTTGGTTGGATCGATCGAACCTTGGCGGCGTACTTTTTGGATAAAGACAGGGTTAAGATATTTTTAGGAAGAGGACAAAAGTGGTAAGTGAGGATAAAATCAAAGGGGATCGATCGATCGAAAGAAATGGTGGATTGATCGAAGAAGATAATTTGCTGAGGATAAGGATAAAAGGCTCGATCCATCATGGCATGGTTGGATCGATCACTGTATGATCGATTAGAGCTTGTTTCAATTGATCATGGAAAGCTTCCTTCACCACTTTGCTTCTACTTTGCTCCTTTCTTCCTTTAAGCTTGAGATTGCTTCTTTTATTGCTTTAATTAGGCTTAATTAACTTATTTTGGGGATAAGTGCCTGAAAAGGAAAATAACACGAAATTAGACTAAAATGGGAAAATAAGATAGAATAAGGTCCTAGAACATTCAAGCTTAAGGAGTTTAAATGCACACTTTTCAGCGTTTATCAAATATAAGGAAGAAAGTTAAGGAAATGATAAGATAAAGGAGATGGTGGTAGGGTTGCAAACGAGCTGAGCCGAGCTTTGAAGTGTTTAGGCTCGGCTCGGCAAACTGAAGGGAGTGTCTGAGCTCGGCTTGTGATTGGTCGAGCTCTCACCAACACTGATCGAGCTCGGTTTGCCAATGTTCGAATATAATCGAGCCAAGCTCAATTGCTCGTCTACGAGCATAGGTATATACATATATAAGAGCAGCAAGGGGGAAAGATAGAGAGAGAAATTTGTGAAGACACAGAAACTGGAAGAGAAATACATTAATTTTCTTGGAATTAAAGCATGCAATAGCGTATATGTATATATAAGAGTAGAAAGGGGAGAAGATGAAAGAGAGATTTGAAAAAATAGAGAAGAAAAGGAAGAGATATATAGTAACATACATGGAAATCAATTGCTTGAGTGTTGTCGGATTTTTGGTCGCGATCGGTGGTTATTAGTTCGTGTTGTGCGTCGTGGGAATTGCCTCGTAGTTACCGATTTTGCCGGTTAGGAATGTTCAGGTTAGGTCGTGGTTAGGTCTGAAGAGGAGAATGGTTAAGGAATAAGGTTCACTAGTTGCAAAATATATGAGAGAGAGAGAGAGAACAGATGGAGGTGGCCTTTCTTATTCCATCAACCTTAAACATAGAAAGGTTTATATACAAAGATAAGAAAAGCTTATTTGCATAAGAACCACAAACTTTATATACAATTACAATCTGACCCAACATAAAAATTTATCTACATATAAATGTGCTACATACAATTACAATCTGACCCCAACTTTTGTATATATTATAATTGGGTATATATATATATATATATATATATATATATATATATATATATATATTATAATCGAGTATGTTCGTGAACGCATTATCGAGCCCAGTTCGTGAACGGTTCATGAACAAATGAGTCGAGTTTACTATTGTTCAGACTCGGCTTGTTTATAAATCGAGCCTCATAATTCGAATCGAGTTCGGTTCACTTATTAATGAGCCGAGTAATTAACGAGCCGAGCCCGAGCCGTTCGCAAACGGCTCGGCTCGTTTGCAGCCCTAGATGGTGGCGGAACCCAGATGACTTTTTCGCTTAAAATGAGATATTTATGTATGGACATCTGAATGTGGAGGCATGATGGTGAGCTGTATTGATTTTGTGTCGGTGGATTGCCTATATTTTTGAATGCCTTGTGACTTTGATAATGATACAGAGAAGGAGAAAAAATAAATCAAGAAAAAGCAGCTGTGCTAAAATTATCAGGAGGAAAAATAAATCTAGAAAATAAATCATACATGTTAATTATCAGGAGAAAAAATAAATCAAGAAAATAAATCATTCATTTTTATACACTCTTCATTGCTAAAATTTTCCAAAGTCAACTCAATCTTCATGAAACCAGCTATGCTTTCTTGTCTTGGACATATCTGATTGTGCATGAGAGAAACGATAATATTGATTGACAAGGATTAGTCTTAGATTAGAATCATTTGGAACTTGCAACTTTTCCAGCTGGTGATCCAATATTGCGAAGTTGCTTCTCATGGGAGAATAATTTTGCAAGCCTGCAACATCGATCATAATTTTTGTTAGAATTGTTAAAAGGTTAAAGCGAACTCCATAGTAGAATCGACAATAAAATCATTCATATACCTTCTGAGAACCTCTTCATTAGTATCGTGCTCAGCAGGCTCACCCGTACCAGTCTCCAAATTTACCCTCGAAACTGGTTTCTTTAGCAACCCTTCGCCAACTTTTACGAGGTCTTCCAAATTCGTTTTGGTGGCTATATCAACCGAAGACACTGTCCCACTTAAAGAGTCGTCCTGCAATTTATAGATGAACAATTGCTATGTTTATTTTTAGTTTGGATAATGAAAAATGTAACTTAATAATTTTAACACAGATGCATACTTGAATACGGAGGTAATGCTCTTCGGAATGAAGGGCTTGAAATATCACAGAAAGATGGTAATCAACCATATCAGCACTAGCTTGAGAAAACACGTCTATTAATGGAGTAGAACCACCACTTGTTAACCAACTCAACAAACCCTACTTAGCCACTTCGTCTGCTTTGTATTTATATTCTGCTTTGGATGTGCCTGTTCCTAAGGATATAACCAATAACCTACCATAGTCTAATTCCTTAATAGCAAAGTAGCCAGGATTTCTCTTCATGATCTGCTTTGTTATTTCACCGATTGCAACCATTGTCTGAAAAATTACTCTTTAACAATAAATTTAAAATGTTACCAAAAAAAAAAATATTAAAGACTTTCGATTAAGGTTTCATAGATTAAACTAAAGGCTTGCTCAGAATTAAAATTATGATCTGCTTTGCTTTTTGTAAAGGGTCTAGAATAATTCCTTAATAACCTAATCGAAAGTCTTTAACCAATAACCTACCATAGTCTAATTCCTTAATAGCAAAGTAGCCAGGATTTCTCTTCATGATCTGCTTTGTTATTTCACCGATTGCAACCATTGTCTGAAAAATTACTCTTTAACAATAAATTTAAAATGTTACCAAAAAAAAAAAATATTAAAGACTTTCGATTAAGGTTTCATAGATTAAACTAAAGGCTTGCTCAGAATTAAAATTATGATCTGCTTTGCTTTTTGTAAAGGGTCTAGAATTGCTTCAGATGAGAGTCTGTATGGAAGAGGTGTTCTAGGAAAACAAAGGAAAATAAAGGCTTGCTCAGAATTAAAATTATTTTTGAATCAATTAAAATTAATGCAAGAAGATTTTGACTTTATGTATTGAATTAGTGATTTATAAAATTGGGCAAAGGAGGCTGAACAATAGTAATTAGAATAAGGTAAAGAGAAAACAAATTTACTTTTTCAAAACGAAATAAATAAAGAGGAGGAAACATAAAAAGTGTATAGTACCTTAGTTAGCTTGATCCTTATCAATTCTCCTGTAATTATTCTTTGTTTGACATAATAAATGTGAAAAACAGGAGTGAAGTGAGTCACAAAGATATTTATTTCAAAGAAACATCTAAATAAAAATATTTTTTTAATAAAATATAGTAGTATTATTATTTTTTTAGAGGTTTCTATTTTTATTTTGATAATTATCTTTTATTGTTACAATAAGTGGTAATGGTTAAATTAAATATAGAAACTACAAATAGGATGAGAGGGATTTTGTGTTAAAAGAAAAAGACTATAGGTGGGTTTGAAAAAATTTAATCTAATAGTCTATATAGAAAGTGTGGATTAATTTTATTGCTCCACGGGAAGTAAGAGACCAATACTCTAAATATCATTACTCATTTTTAAAATTGAAACTAAACTATGGGCCTCCGGAACCAAACCATACTCTGCCACTCGTCTTATTTTGGGCCTTTATCCAATTTGACATTGGGTCAAATATGTTTGGGCATCATGCATTCTCTTGATCTACTTCCGTCCTTTTTAGAGAACGATTTCCTGTACAGCCTGAATTGTAGAGGTGAGAGAGAGAGACAAAGAGGAGGGCGATGAGAGAGACTGAGATGTGGTTGGGATGAAGTGCGTATGTGGATGAGTGGGCCGATGAGAGAGAGTGAGATGTGGTTGGGATGAAGTGCGTATGTGGATGAGTGGGCCGATGAGAGAGACTGAGATGTGGTTGGGGTGAGGTGGGTCTGTGGAAGAGTGGGGCGATGAGAGAGACTGATGATATATATATATATAGAAAGCAAAACCAAAATTATAATTATTAAACTTGCTTTTTAATTTTTTACTTTACAAATATTGAAAGCATAAAAAGTTAGTAAACATAATTTTACTTTATATTTCATCTTTAGAAATGAAAATTATGATTTTACTTTTAAAGAAAGTAAAAGTAAAAAATAAAAGCGTTAATAAACGGGCCCTAAACAAATATATATGCTTATAGATATGCTAATTTCTGTGTTATACATGTTAACTGTTTGTCATAAGAGCTTCAAAGTGTATATTGTAAAAATGATCTACAGAGAAGAAAGTCACAAGTCATCTAAAGTTTCACAAATTATTTCCATTTTTCCCAAAAAAAAAAAAAAAGACAAAAAAAAACTGTAAATTATTTTATGGGCACCGCCAAAAAATACTAATTTTCAAAGGCTTCATTTAGTTGGATTAAAATTAATAGTGGAAAAAAGAAGTAAAATAAAAATAAAAATTTCTATGGTTTTCTTAAGTGACACCACATTAAATCTGAAAGTGAGAGAGTTGATAATTCAATTCAGTTTTAATTTTCAATGACTTTTGGGGGATAATTCCAAACCAAGGACTTTTGGGGGCTTTTTTAAGATATATATATATATGATATTTTCTTTGATGGATTGTTTGTAACCGTCCGTTATACCACATCATTGTTGCAATGTTTGCAATGAATAATTTCTCCCTTTTTACATAGTCGTGGAGTCAAGGTGAACTTTTTTGAGAACTTTGTTTGTCCAAACTATCCTTAGTATTTCCATGTCCACTTTTGTGCATTTAAGTACTATTCTGGTGCATGTAAGTAGCACCCTTATGCACAGAGTTATCACTTTTTGTAAGCACCACTCTTGTGAACAAAGGTCCCACGTGATATATGTACCATTCTTGATGACTTTGATTGCACAAAAATGATACTTGGGTGCACAAGAATGGTATCAACATACATAAAAGTGATAGTTAAAAAAGTTAAGGGTATTTTGAGTTAATTATCAGTGTTATATTCATTTCAGACTTTCAGCAAAGTTCAAGACTGAAAAAAAATTGACGACTCCATAACTCTGTAAAAAAAACCTTCAAAAATCCACCTATTTGTAATTGTCTCTATATATACTTATAAAGTATTTTTTTAAATAGAGATTAGCAATAAAAGAGAAATAAAATTCAGACCACAAATAAACAGTAGCTCAATACATGTGTAATGTATTTCATAGACCAAAAGCACGACTACCAAGGGCCTTGTGTGGTTTTTCCTCTATCTTTTTAAATTGAATGGTGAAGATTGAAATCTTCAAAGGAAATAAAGTGAATGTGTAAATTCGAAGTAATATATAGATATGCTTACCACTTTCATGGTGGCGTAATGTAAAAGCAAACTTTTGCAAATAGGCGCAAATCCTCTGTTGTGCAGTTTTCATGTTGTCTCTTGCAATGAGCGTTAAGTGATCTTGGTTTGGCCACGTTTTACTCCACTCAAATAGACACTAAGATTGTGTTTAGCAAATTACACTATTATTTATAAGTAACATTTCACTACTATTTATAAGTAATATCACAGAAGTCTAAAAGTAATATCACATGAGTTTAAAAAGTAACATCACCATCTGTAATTACACCACTATTTATAAGTAACATTTCACCACCATTTATAAGTAACATCACAGAAGCCTAAAAATAATATCACATGAGTCTAAAAAGTAATATCACCATTTGTAATGACACCACTAGACAACATCTTGCGGATTTATTCCTGTAATCACTTCCGAAAGGTGTAACCCTTTTTCTTCTCAATTAGGTTTCTATTTATTCTCACTCCTCTTCAGATATACTCTGTCTATCTCCATATGCTTTTCTTTTTCATAGGTTCAATAAATCTACAAAAGATACAAACTTTAGAACCAAACCTTTTCAAAGTGGTACTTCTAATTTCATATTTTGTTTCAGTTTCATATATTGATAGCAATGAAAGCATCTGCCCTGTTCTTGTTTTTTGCCTACCTTTCAAGCATCGGCTTCTTGTTTTCGTCAATACCTTTTTTATATGCATCTTTGGTGTTAATGTTGGTGTCAATTGCTTCTCACCCATATATTAATCCAAGTAATTTTAATTTTGGTTTAAATTCTTTAAATTAATATGTTAAAGTGTTTTTAAAATACTTTAATTTCAAATTATAACATAAATGATATGTTGAATTGAGTTACGTTTGTATGTGACTTTACTTAATCTGCATTATGTGCATACCTTATTTTGAGGGTGAAGATACTTATAAATGGTGGTGAAATGGTTCTTATAAATGGTGGTGAATTGAGTTACGTTTGTATGTGACATTACTTAATCTGCATTGTGTGAATATCTTATTTTGAGGGTGAAGATACTTATAAATGATGGTAAAATGTTACTAATAAATGATTGTGTAATTGCCAAATACAGTCTTAGTGTATATTGAGTGGAGTAAAACGTGGCCAAACCATGACCACTTGCTCACTGCAGGAGACAGCATGGAAACCGCACAGCAGACGATTTGCGCCCTTACATATGGTACTACGTATTACAAAGGACAACAAGAAATTATAGATATGCTTACCACTTTCATGGTGGCTAACCTAAAAGCGAACTTTTATATATAGTTATTGGATGAATATTCTAGTCTCCATGAATTGTGGGATTACACAATATAAATTCAAGAGCAATATATGGGATTACATACTGTAAATTAGGAGTGTATAGCTAGCTGTTATAATTCTTAGATTGTTTTAATCATGGGATATGTTTCCTCTATTGTATATATACATGTGATATCAATACAAGAAAGTATGAAATTTTCTGCAATCTTTCATGGTATCAGAGCAGGAATAACCTAGCAATACTTTTCTATTTTTTTTTTTTTCACTATTGCTTCTTCTTTATCCAACCACATGCCTATGGCCTCTTTTACAAGTTCCTTTACTGTTCCAAATATTTCAACTCTTGTCTCTATTAAATTAACAGAAACCAACTATCTCCTATGGGAAAGTCAAATCAAGCCATTTCTTATTGGCCAAAATTATTGGCGTTTCATTAATGGAACTCATCTTTGTCCTCCCAGTTTCTCTCAGACACAGAATCTTCAACACATACCTTGAATTCTGCCTATACCAGTTGGCTACAAACAGATCAAACTCTTGTAAGCATGATCAATGCCACTCTCTCTAAATCTGTTCTTTCTCAAGTTGTTGGACTCTCTTCTTCTCGTCAGATTTGGAAATACCTCAAACAAAAATTTTCTCAATAATCCCTTGCAAACGCCACTCATCTGCGTTTTCAATTGCACTCCATCTCCAAAGGGACAAAACCTATTTCAGAATATCTGCAACATGCTAAATCTCTAGCTGATGCTCTTCCTGCCATCAATCAACCAATCTCCAATGCAGATCTCGTCACATCTGTTCTTCGCGGACTCGGTCCAAATTATTCTATACTTGTCACAGCTTTTCTTAACTTCCCACCGCTCCCACAATACTCAAATCTTCGTGCTCGTCTCTTGTCATATAAATCTCATATTAGGCCCTCGACTAATC